AGTGGCTCACACCTGTAATCCCAGCACTTTGGGAGGCCGAGGCAGGTGGATCGCCTGAGGTTGGGCGTTCAAGACCAGCCTGACCAACGTGGTGAAACCCCAACTCTATTAAAAAAATATACAAAAATTAGCAAGGCATGGTGGCACATGCCTATAATCCTAGCTACTCAGGAGGTTGAGGCAGGAGAATCGCTTGAACCTGGGAGGCGGAGGTTGCAGTGAGCCAAGATCATGCCATTGTACTCCAGCCTGGGCAACAAGAACAAAAATCTGTCTCAAAAAAAAAAAAAAAGAGCAAAGGCATTGTGAACTCATGGCAGGGTGGAGGGGAGGGGAGGGGGCAGGAGGCACACAAAGCCAGGCCCTTGTTTTCCCTAGAAATGGCACGTGCAGGAAGGGAAAGGGTTTCTTCCAGGGCTGAGATGAAGTCCTCAGATTGCAAGAGAAGCAGAAAAATCTAGGAGCTTCTCTGACCTTGGGGAGTCAGGTTAAGGAGACCTTTCCCCCTTAAGGCAAGCCCACATGGCAAATGAGAGCTTCCTCCAAAATACAGTGCATGGCTAAGAAGGGCCCCCCACTGTGTAATTCTGGTTCTGCCCCCTCCCTCCCTTTGGATCTGCATTATCAGAAGCTCAGGAAACACTGGAAAACTCCTACTTAACCCTTAGCCCCAGCCCAAACACCCACTCTAGCTGCAGACCGTCTCCCACTGTCATCCTTCCCCACTTTGGTTGGATCTCAGGGGCTTGGACAGAGCTTCCATCAGCCCCTGTTCAGGCGCAGGCATCCCATATCATGGCCAACACTTCCCTGGGATTCCCGGGGTAGCTTCAGACCCCCTGGGGTGATATCGCCTCCCACCCAGCTCTGGCCACCCAAGTCTCCATAGAGCTGCTCCCCTGTCTAGAGAGCACGGCTAATACCTGCTTATTTAGGAAGAGGCTCCTTCCCAGCAGGCACTCCTCCCGGCTCAGCAGGACCCCGTCCCGACTCTGGGGTTCCCTCCGGCAGCAGGCCTCCGGCACCTCTTCACTGTCCAGGGTCAGGAGTCGAAACACAGATGCATACTTAAAGTCTTCAGGCCCATTGACCCCGCAGCAACCAAACTAGGGGGAGATCCCAGAGGAGGGTCTGGTGGGCAGGCGCCGAAAACGGGGGAGGGGACAGAGAAGGACAGACAGTCTCTGCAAAGGAGTGGCATCAGAAGGCTGGGTGTGGGCTGGCTCCACCTGTCCCCGCTGTGTGACCATGAGAAAGACATTTGGCTTCTCTGGGCCTTCAGTGCCCTCAGCTCTATAACAGGGGTGGTAGTAACAACTCCTACCTCACCGGGCACTTAGCTCTCCATAAACAGGTGCTGTGGTTCTGATCATCATGATCATGACCATTGCTTGGGGACCCAAGACAGGGCTGGCAAGTAGGTTTCATCCCTAGTATGGACTGTGATCACATGGCATGGCTGCCTAGAATGCTGTGTGGATGCAGATTCCAAGGCCAAGTCCGTGATCGATGGGACAGTGTCTGGACTGATGACTGATGCCTGGCGTGGGCATGTGAACACTGGGCACCATGGCTCTGAATGCTCACAGCATCTCTTGGGGGTCACTCACTGTGATCATGACAGAGTTCCAGGTGGCGGAGAAGACGTCCGTGTCGTTATTGCCCTGGTAGTGCTTGCTGAGCTCCTTGGTGAAGAATTCTCGGGTGAGCTGGGGGCAGAGGGAGAAGACGGGCTGGGGCCTGGCTGTTGTCTCTCCATCCCATGCCCGGGAGCTGGGGTAATGAGAGCTAGGGGCTGCACATCCTGGTGCCAGGCCCCCTGGGATTCCCCTAAACTGCCTACTTGGGGCGGGCTCCTTATCCTTAGTGTAGAATGGAGGTCTATATACACCTATGCCTCAGCAGAACCAAGGTCAGGGCCTGCTGAGGCCCCAGCACTGCCTGCAGCTCTGCCCAGAGGGAGGGCTTATCTGGGTGGGGAGTTTGCCCCTCACCCCACCCCTTCCACCCTGAGCTGCTCCCCAGACAGAGCCAATCAGACGCCCTGGGAAGCTAGGGAACCGGGCAGGAAGGCTTTGTATATCCGTTTCCAGAGCAGGCCTCCTAAGTTTCTCTTACTCTCAAAATATTCTGCTAAGGTCTAACTACCCTCCCTCCTGCTATAGTGAAAGGCTAGGGCCCTGGGTGGTGCCCGGCAGAGGAAACCATCTGGGCACCATTCTCTGCCCACAGGCTGTGGTGGCCTCCTCCTCTGCTCTGTGCCGAACCGCCCCCCCACCCCCACCACCTCCACCACCTCCACCCCAGGGCCATCTTGTGTCTCCTGCCCACTGCCTGTCCTCCCTCCCCTCTTCCCACTCCCCCTGCCCCACTGCCCCTCCTCCCTCCCCTCTTCCCACTCCCCCTGCCCCACTGCCCCTCCTCCCTCCCCTCTTCCCACTCCCC